TATTTTTTTTTTTTTGGGGGGGGAAAACCCTTTTTGGGAACCCAAAAAGGGGCCCCTTCCCCTTTTTGGGGTTTCCTAAAAACACCCCCTTTTTTAAGGGCCCCGGGGTAAAGGGGTTTCCTTTGGGGGCCCTTTTAAAATTAAAACCCCTTTCTTTTTTTAAAAAAAAAGGGAATTTTGGGGGGGTAGTGTGTAAATTATTAAAGAGATAAATTTATAAAGTAATTGTATAATAATATAATAACTATAACAATAAATATAAAAACTATAAAAAAAAAATATAAAGACAAAATAAAAATAAAGAAAAAAAAAGATACTTTTTTTTTTTTAAAAAATTATAAAATAAAAAAAAAAAAAAAAAATAAAATTAAAAACAAAATTAAAAAATTAAAAAAAAAAAAAAAAAAATCGTTTTTTTAAATTATTTAATATTTAATTTAGTTATTATTTATAATTAAAAATATTAATTTAAACAACACATATTTATTTTTAAACCCACATACCCCCCCCCAAATACTTTATTTATAACACACTTTTTTTTTTTTTTTTTAAAAAATATTTTATATAAAAATAAAAAAAAAAAAGGGGGCCAATTTGATAATTACGGAGGGCCAATTGTATATAAGTCAAAAATATGAAAATTGGGAATAGCCAAATTAAAATAAAAAGGTTTTTTTTTTTTTTTTTTTTTTTTTTGCTCCAAAAGAATTTATAAATCAAGATAAATTATTTGCAAATTTACAAACAAATTTTTTTTTTTTTTCATAATTTTTTTAAATTTTAAAAAAAAAAAAAAAATTCAACATTTTGTAAAAAAAAAAAAAAAAAAAAAAATGGAAGATAGAGATAAAATAATAAAAAATAATAAGTGTAATATTATCAGAGTATATAACATTAAAGGTGTCAAAGCGCATCAAGTTAATGGAAAGTGGTTTGAGGCATTGGGCTATAGAGATCTATTGAAGGAAGCATCGGCTTGGGGGGTGTCACTCTCCTATCCATACCCAAAAGACCTTAGAAATTACATACTTAATATAATTGGATTATGCATTAGTGCAGAAAAACCGATTATGTGCGATTGTTTGTTATGTTTACAAGAAATGCCGGAGCCTCAAGCATGGCCAAAAATGTTAAGTGTGGTGGTATATACAATCATCAAACAACAACTAAAACACGAGCAAGAGTTGAAAGAATTAATAATTAGAAGGGGTTTAACGCCAAGGGAATCTTACACAAATAGGGAAAATGTATCGATTGGTGATATTGCCTATTACTTTCAGACCCATAGATTCAATATAGATCTTATAAAAAACCAATTTAGAAATATTATATCAGATGAATTGGGAAATAACAGATCTGTATTTAAATTCCAAAGGAACCCAAAAAGTAATTTTGGGGACTTATGGACACTAACAAATTTAGAGTGTCCATGGGATGTGCCAAGTGAAAACAATAAAAAAGATACTGACAAAGAGGATTTAGGTGAACAATTTAATATAGTCAAAACAAGGCTTAGGGAAAATACTAACAATAGTTCAGAAAATGTAAAAAGAAAAAGACTTTCAATTAAAGATCTTGATTCACTTATTAAACCAAATAGTGAAGATGAAGAGGAAGATGAGGAAGAATCAGAAGAAGAAGGAGATGAAGAAGAAGAAGAAGAAGATAAATTGCAAATACTAAGTTCAGAGGAATCAGACGAAGAAAATGAAGAAGAGGACTTTGAAGAGCACAAAAAACCTCTTGCTCAAATAATTCCAAATAAAAAGCTTATAAAAAGCATTAAAAAGCCTCAAGTTCGTCAATTAGAAAGAAATATTTTAGATAATTTCAATTTTTATAATTATATCAGCGATTTTGAATCATTTGGGTACAGGATTAGTGTAGAGTTTACAAGATTTTTAGTTTTAAAATACCTGTTCGATAATGGTGACGGTAAAAATATTTCAAGTATTAATAGTCATCAATCTAAATTGCAAGCATCCCCATTGATCAACAAATTTTGGTGTCAAATAATTTTAACAACCAGCAAATATGACGAATTATGCAATATTTTAGGATGTAAAGTTAGATTCGACCCAGATCTTCTTAACCATCCAGTCGAAGTTCAAAAACAACGTATCGCAAAATCTATTCAAATCTATCAAAAATACTTTGGTGATGTCGATAAAGAAATTTGGGTTTTTAAATAAAATAAAAATAAAAATAAAATTAAGTGTATATATAAATTTTTATGTAATATTTCTTTTTTTTTTTTTTTTATTTTTTTTTTTTTATTTTTTTTTTTTTAAAAGCAATCATTTAAGATACTTCTTAATGAAAAGGTTCTATCTTCCATAAAGTTTATATCTAATGATAAATTCACTTTTGAGTGGTTAGTATTATGTCTAATTTTAGAGTTCTGATATCTAATGTTCATTTCATAACTATTATAATAAGTAGTATTTAAATCTTTAATTACGGGGGCACATGAAAGGTCATCTGATGATGGTTCACTACTTGGTTTTCTTTTTCCCTTGTAGCTATTATTTACTGTGAGGTTTGTTTTAACTTCATATGATGGTTGAATCTCTTGATTGTTTTCATCCAATTTTTTTCTAATTAGATTTAAATTGTTACCTTCATTATTGGATTTGACCACTGAGTTATTATCTTTATTTTTTATTTCATTTTTCTTATTTAAAAGGTTTTCTAAAAAAAACTGGGCACTTTTATTTTCATTTAATTTATAAAAACCACGTGCCCCGAATACATCCATACCACTTTTAAAAACTATTTGGTTTGAATTAAGAGTACTATTGATAAGATTTTTTTCTTTTTCATATGGAGAAAGATTAAAAATAGCTCTATGTACAGCTAAATACTCTCTTATAAACATGAGATGGGCATATTCGTGGATGTCATCTGTTTGAGATTGATATTGTTTGGAAGTATTTTGATCAACATCAGCATTGGCAGTAGGTATATTGGTTGATGATTTTCGTGGAGTGGCTCTTTGGTTTTTATATTCCACTAAAATATAAATTACAACCTTTAAAATTGTTAATACATGGGTATTTACAGGAATGGTGTAGTTATTTTTGCACAAAAGACATCCACATGGCTTTTGATCAAAATCATAAATATAATTAAAAGATACCATCGTGTTGTAGTTGTTCATTTGGAGATCAGATAAGGATCTTTGCCAGTTTCTTCTTTTTTTTAATTGATCATTGACAGCGATTGGGGAACCCTCTTCATCAGCATCACTATTGGTTTTATTTTGTATTTCCATACTATTTTTATGATTATTGACAGCAATTGGGGAACCTTCTTTAACAGCTTCACTATTGGTTTTATTTAGTAATTTAATACTATTTTTAACAATATTTACATTTGATGAAATATTTTGATTTTCTTTTTTGGACATACTAAGTATTGTTGGAAGGCATGGGATAGTGCTTCTCTTTTCATTTTGTTTCTTTTCCTTTTCACTATCTGTGGCATCTTTAAATGGATCTTTAAATTGGTGTTTATTAGCATCACTGAAAAAATTGCTATTAAATAATTTTATATTCATCTCTATTTAAAATATATTAATATATTTTTAGTTTTAATAGATATATTTTAATTTTTTTTATTGTTTCTTTTATTATTTTTATTACTGCGATGTTGCAATTTTTTTGTTTTTATTGTATTTAATTTTTATTTTGTTAATTTTGAGTTTTAAGTTATTTAATCTGTTAAAAAAAATTGAATTTCTATTTTTATTAATTGTTTTTAAATTGTATTTATTTTTAAAACCTAATATATAATTCATATTATTAATTCAATTTATTATATAAATATGCGCCATTATAAAAATAAACTCACACTCAAAAAAACAAAAAAAAACAATGCAATCTAATAAACTACCATTACCCCACCCCCATTATTATTAAAATTCGAAATCGTATAGAAAAAAAAACAACTTTAAAAATTTTTTTTCATTAAAACTTTTTGTATTATACAAAGTTATAATAAAAACACTTTTAACACACTCAATGTTTTTTATTTCCATCTAAGTGGTATCAAAATGTAATTTTTCTAAATTTTAAAAACCTACTCTCACACACATTCACCCATTTAAAAATAATCAAGCAGCCCAATTTTTTTTACCCCCACCAATGCATTTTTTATTTTTTTTATTTTTAGAATTATATATAATAAAATTATTTTTGTGTATTATTAAAATAATAATATTGTTATCCATTATGTTAAATAATCTGTTGGCCATATTTGACTGAGACTGTTATTATTATGATGATTATTGTTATTATTATTATTAAAATTATTATTTTTTGTAATATTGTTGAAAAAAGTGTTGTATAAATATAAAGTTTTTTCATATCTCTTTCTTTGGATTGTCTTTTCTTCTGATACTGCGTTTTGATCGTTTAAAATAATTAAATCAGGGTGAAGATGTGATATAATATTTGATGGAAACTGTTTAAAAATTAATCTACAAAATTTATTATAGTCTCCTAAAAAAAAATTAATAACTTGATAGTAAACTATAGTAATTGAAATAAATATTTTAAATAAATAATACCTACCATTGTTTATTAGATGAATGGTTAAAAATTTTTCTATTAAAGGTGGTGGCTGAAGACTTATTCTTTCTCCATTAATGTAATTGTTAAATATATCTATTTCAACACTTTTATATATTGTGTCAATTGCCATCAATAACATAAATCTTGTATATTCTCGGGACAATGGAATAGCTAGCTTTAAAAAAACTTCCTCATTATGGTCAATCCTATTGAAAATATTAAAAAAATTGTGAGTATTTAAAATTGCTTTTTCGTATCTTTTAAACATTTCTCTAACATTGAGTTTTTTAATTTCCTCTTCGATATACGAAAGATGATTATAATTATTGAATTTATTGTTAATATTATAATTGTTATTAGTATAGCTTATATTATTCATATTGTTATTTGTTTGCTGCATATATAGGTACTGTTGATTCTTTTGTAATAATTCTTGTTGATGTATTATATGTTTTTGAAATTGTTGATGGTATTGGTGATATTGCGGGTGAAGTACTGGATATGGATTTTGAAAATGTGGAGATGATAAAAGAGGGGGAGTAGTTTGGGGCACTTTTGGTTTATGAGAAGGCGATTGGGGAGGGGACAGTGTTGGGGTTAAAAAGGGTTGGGTTTGTGATTCTTTGGGTGAATTTTGTTGTGATCCATGATCATTTTCCTCTACTAAAATAACATTATTATTACTGATTTTATTGATGTTACAAGTATTTACATGGTTGTTATCATTTTTGATTGTAATGTTATTATTGTTTATATCTTTTCCATTATTATTGTCTTTAGTTTCTAAATTATTATTATTATTTTGTATATCAAAATTTTTGGTATTATTTATAACTAAATTTTGGTTTGGTGATGAGTTTTCAGATGACTTTAAAACTTTGGGTGTTGGAGTATTGTTAATTATTTTATTTTCACATTCTTTTTCACTGAGTGTTCTCTTTTTATTATAGGAGTTATTGGGTGAATTTTCTTTGGAGTTTCTAGGAGGAGATTTGTTTAATAAATCTTTAATTGTTTCCAGATCTATAATCAGACCTTCACTTAATTCTTCATCTGATATAGCTTTTAAATTTGAATTATCAGTTTCATTATTATTTTTGTTGTTATTATCATTATTATTATTATTATTATTTTTTGTATTATTATTATCGATACTATTATTATTACTATCTTTGTTTATTTCATAAATTAAAAGCTTGGATTTACATGCATCTAAACTTAATAGTTTATAAAAACTTTTGGCATTAAATAAAGAGAACCCACTTTTAAAATCTAAAGTAGATGATAATGCTTGACTTATTATACTTTGATATTTGTTTCCATCAATTATTAATTTCTCATCTATCTTTAAAAAACAATTATGTGCCTCCATAAAATATCTTATATATGTAGTGTGGAAGTAAAATTCTGAAACGCCATCCACTATATTTTTAACTGGAGACCCATTTGAGGCTACTGAAATATTATTAATTTGTGGTGTTTCGGAGCATTTTTTAATTTGACTACTAGTACTTTTTTCAGTATGATTTTGTAGTTGTTGAAGAGTTAAAGCATATAGGGATAATAATACAAAATAGCTAACTTGTGAATGGGTATTATCGAAATCCATAGGTATACCTGCTTTCTTTTCACAAATCAAACAGTTGCAAGGAATAATAATTTTAATTGGTTTTTTATCTTGAGAAACGTTATTATACATATTCTTTGTCGGGTGATGGTGAACATTTATTACTAGATTCAGATAATGTGGTGGCGGGTGTATTGTTACCGATATCTTTTGTGATAAGATTCTTTAAAATTGTAATTAGTGTATCTTTTGAATATGTTGATATGAATTGAAAATTTTTTTGAAAATTCTTTATTTGATGCTTTACTTCATCGACACTCATTGTATCGACCATTTCATTATCAATGAAAATTAACTCTCCCTCAACTTTATTAATAAAAGTACCACTAAAAATTTGTAAAATCTTTAAAATCTTCATTTACGCTAATATAAAAAATAATAATTTATAAAAAAAAAATAAAATAAAATAAACAAAATAACTTAAAAAAAAATATAGGAGAAATTTTACAAACTTAACTATTTTAAATTATTTAATTTTATTGAGAAAAAAAAAATATTTTTAAAAACCAATTTTATTTATATAAAAAAAATAAAAATAAACATTTTTTAAAATGACAAACTTCGCCAATAAATTTAATTTGAAAAAAATGTTTTTAAAAATAAAAAAGCTACTAATATTTTTCGAAAAAATTTTAATTAAACATAAATAACCCTGCAATATCAAGAAAATATGCTGAGGGATAACTGATTAATTTTTAAAAAAAAAAAAATCTGAAAAGAGGTGAAAATAAAAATAATTTTTTTTATTTTTTTTAAAAAAGGTTTTCAAAGAAAAAATATTTTTGATAAACCAAATGAATAATATTTTAATTACTTTTCTTTATTTTGTAGAGATGAAATTTTATTACTATAATCCCAAATCTTTGTATTTACATTTTGAAAATATAAAACATATAAACTTAATGTTGTTTTAAATCTTAAAATTTGAAAATCTAAAGGCTCTAAATTAATCTCTGGGTCACATGCAATGAATGCACCAACAAACATACCACAATACTTTTTATATTCTTCTATATGAGCCAAATGTGAATACCAAAATTTTTCGATCTAAATAAAAAAAAAAATTAATATTATGCCTTAAAAAAATTAATATATTAATAATAGTTTTAATAGTTACCAAAGTTGGTGGAGATAGTTTTGTTGTATATTCAGTATCCCAAGTGCATGTGTCAACATTAATTGTTTTTAAAATCATAAATCTAATATATTCTTTACATATTTCTTCTGCAAATTGATCATCTTCGATAGTATTTTGAAGTTTAAATAGTTTGATTACATTTGAAAAATTATATTTTTCAAAAATTTTCTTTTCAAAGTTTATGGGGTTCTTTATAAGTCTGGGTTTATTTGGTTGTCCATGTTGTGTTAGTGCTGTTGATGATGAAGATGGTGATACTCTTATACGCTTATTGTTGTTATTGTTGATACTATTATTATTTTGATTTTCAACTTGTCTTTTATTTGGTGTTATTGATTTTGAATGTTTTGACTGGTTTTGTTCATTTTCTAGTTCTTCTTTTGATGGTGATGGCTGTTGCTTTAATCTTTGTCTGTGGCCTGGATGTGGGCATTTGCCTCTTCTTTGACAAACACCCTTTAGACCTACTGCACCACAAATTGGAAATGCTTCATTTAGTTTACTTTCATAATCTTCATCTGTGTTTTTATCTTGGAATGACTGAATTTGTTTTTTAGTTACTTTTTTTGATGATAGATGCTTTGGTTTGCGAGGTTCTTCATTCTTCTCTATATTCAATAGATCTCTTCTATTTTGATTGTCGTCACAATCATTATCTTTTTCCTGTTCACTATATTCATTGGAATCGTTCATTTCGTTATATTCACCATCGGTGATTTTATTTTTGATATGTCCTTTTTGATCTTCTTTTTCATCATCATCATCATCATCCTCCTCTTCGGAAATATATTCGTTATGTTTGATTTCAAACTCATTTTCTTTTTCTATATAATCTTTTGACCATGGATCATTTGTTGGATTCTTTAAAGCCCAAAAACCTGTTGTACCTAGTTGCTCTTTACCAGAACTAAAGAAAGCTGTATTATAAAATAAACATGAAGTAAAACCTTGTTTAACGTCCATTTTAATTCTTTCTGGTGATAAATAATCTGAAACTAGTTTATGGGTGGCCACAAATGTATAAATTGCTCTAATTGATAAAAAAATGGGTTTATCTTGCTCTTGTTGTGAATGACTTGAAAGAGATGAACTAGGAGATGATACCTTATTGACTTTTAAAATATTTTCTTGGTAATCTCTTTCGAGCATAATCTGTTGTTGAGTTACACAATAGCAAACGAATTTAAGTATACCAAGTAAATCTGAATGGCACTTAATCTTTGATTTCTGTGTAGCGGCACACAAATGAGTTGGCAATTTTTTAATTGAGCACAATTTACAGTCACATATTGAAACATAGCTATTAATTTCATCCTCTTCATTATAGTCTGAATTTACAGGTAAACCTAGTTGTTCTTTTAATTCTTCAATTAACAATAGTTTTAAGCAATTTGAATTTATATTTAGACCAGTCCTTTGTAATACTTGTTTACCACGTTTCTCCAACTCTCTTCTATAATCTGCTTGTTCGAATGCATCAACAAATTTACCATCTAGCCAAAATACTAAATCTTTACCAAATTTATAAATTTTAATTGAACTTTTTTTGACTGCATTATTTTTCAAATTGTTATTTTTTTTATTTTCTGTATTATTATTATTAATTTTACTATTGTCTTTAATTAAAGTATTATTATCTATAAAATAATTTGATATACTATTTGGACTTTTTATTATTTTACTATTATTATTATTATTATTATTATTATTATTATTATTATTATTATTATTATTATTATTATTATTATTATTATTATTTGTACTATTACCACCTAACAATTCAAATAGTAAGTTTCCTTTTTTTTCTGTTATATTTGTTGTTGTATTGACAGTGTTGAGCGGGTGTAATTTTTTAATATCATCACTGCTCATATTATTAATAGTTAAACTGCTATATATTGTATTAAGATTATAATTATTTATAGAATTGTGGTTGCTTGTTTTATTTATATTATCGCTATCCATATCAATATTGTTTGAAATAAAATGAGAAATAAAACCCATATATTATTATTGTTTCTATTAATTATTTAATTATTTATATTTATATTATTGGTATTATTTAATTTTTGGACCACTTAAAATTTCATAATTATTTATTTAATATTCTATTATTATTATTATTATATCTATTATATTATTTATATGTATTTTTATTATATGGAGGTGTAGATGTAGGTGTAGATGTATTTTTATTGATTCTAAAAAGCATTATTTATAAATGAACTAATAATAAAAACAATCATAAAAATACAATAAATTTTATTTATTGTGATAAAAAAATAAAAATAAAAAATAAAAGAAATAAATGAAAGAAAAAAATAAAAGAAAAAAATAGAAGATGAGTTTTTTTTTGAAAATAAATAAATTCATTAAAAAAACGCGCTTCATTGTTATTTTTTAAAAAAAAAAAAAAAAAAATTAAATTAAAATTAAAATTGAAAATTGAAAATTTTTGTAAAAAAACTTTTAAAATAAATTAACAATGGATGCACTTTAATCAAAAAATACATATACATTTTTTATAAAAAACAATAATATTTTTTATTTTTTTTTTTATTATCATTTTATTTTATTTTATTTTATTTTATTTTTATATACATATTTTATAATTCATTTATAAATAGAAAACTTAAAAAAAATTCAAATAATCAAATTAATTAATAAAAAGTGTAAAATGATCATAGAAGTTCACTTTTTGAAAAAATATAATTTAAATTAGTTATTTTATTTTATTTTTATTTTTTTTTATTAATTTTTAAAAAATTATTTTTATATTTTTTAAAAAAATTTATTTTATTTTTTTTTTTTAAAATTTGAAGAATTCTTTCTTTTCTCAGTACCTTAAAACAATGGTTTGAATGATTTAAAAATTTATTTTATATTTTTTTTTTAATAATAATAATTTCACAAAAAACAACAATAAATACATATGTATATTTATAATTATCTTTTTTTTCTATAGACATATTTTATATTATTAAAGTAATTTTTTTTTAAATAATTGAAATAAAATAAAATAAAAACAAATAAATCAATATAAAAAAAAAATAATAGAACGACAACACCAATAGTTATCATATGATAATTTAGTTTAATTTCCTTTTTTTTTTTTATTTTTTGTTGATTTTTTTTTTTCGCAATTTTTTTTTATTTTTTTTTTCATTTAATCTTTTTAAATAAAAAATTGTTTTTGGTGGCTATTGGTTGGTTTTTTTTTTTTCCTATTCGGCCACCACCAATAATAAATATTTAAATCTTTTAATTAAAAAAAAAAAAAAAAAAAAATATTTATTATATTTAGAGAGAGATGTGTAAAAAAAAAAAAAAAA